GAGTTTGTGTACTGGTCCAGTAAACGCTTCCGCTGCGCCACCAGCAACAGCTCTCTTTGCAGAGTATTAATTAAGTCCAGTGCAGAGATTCTTGTTGCAGTACAAGCTTCAGAGTCTCAGCAGCAAAGAAATAACGACACAGGGAAGCCTGTCTTTCCAAAGACAGGTTTATTGCAGAAAGATAACAGAAATACCTCCGGAGCTTTCAGACATTTTTGCTTCACACCCCACAGGCAGAGAAAACAAACACACTTTATATACTGAGCAACTTAACAACTTAACGAGCTTGACTACTTAAAGTCACATGACATTGCTAACTTGCCAGCGTCTTAGGTTTCACACCCTAACACCCCTCTCGCTGGCAATACAAAAAAAACCAAAATTACTTCAGACCCATTTCTTCACAAAAGTTTTCATGCCGCTGAAACCCAAGTGGTTTTGTAAAACCATCAGCTTGATTTTCATGACTGGGACAGTAATTTAATTTAACAATTCCTGCTTTTACCGTTTGACAAACATTTTGAAAGCGGATATCCAAATGTTTTGTACGACCTTTAAACTGCCCATTTTGTGCTAACTTAAGACACGGTTGATTATCACCCCACACAGTGATTGGAGTGATGGCCTTTTCATACATCTCTTGTGCCAAGCATTTGTAAAATTCTAGATCTCTACATAACTCAGATAAGGCACAGAACTCAGCTTCTGTTGACGACAAAGCAATTAGGTTCTGTTTCTTGGATCTCCACCCAATCAGAGAGTTACCAAATTTTATTACACAGCCAGACACTGATTTTCTATCCTTTAAATTTGCCCAATCACTATCTGCCCAACAAGTAATCTGTGCTTGTCCTTCCGAAAACAATTCAAGGCAAAAATCTTTGGTGTATTGTAAATATCTTAACACTCTTTGAATTCCTTTCCATGCATTTACACTAGGTTTGAAACTTCTCTGCTGAGTAAGTTAACAGCGTAAGCAATATCTGGTCTACTCCATTGCGAAAGATGAAGTAAGCTTCCCAGTGCTGACTGAAAGATTTCAGCACGCTTGAATTCAGCACTATCCTTGAACTCATTGTCTTTTACAAAACCCATTTCCATTGGTGTTCTAACACCTGCACACTCCGTCATGTTAAACTTTTTCAACATTTGCAATATCTTGCCTTTTTGATTCAGTAGAAAACTGCCATTTTTGGTCCTATCTATCTGAACACCAAGATAGACCTTCACATCACCAAGATTCTTAACTTTGAAGTGTTTATTTAACTCTTTGGCTAGTTTTTTTACTTGTTCTTGTGTCTTTGAAGTATAAATCAGGTCATCTACATAAACAAGCAAAGATTCTTGAGCATCTCCTGAACTTCTGAAATATAAGCAATTGTCAGCCTTGCTCCTGCTAAAACCAATGCCTACCAAAACGTCATTCAAACATTCATTCCAATTATGAGCAGATTGCTTGAGTCCATAAATAGATTTATGTAGTTTCCATACCTGATTTGATTTACCAACTTTCAATCCTGGCGGTAGCTCCATATAGAGCTCTTCAGCCAAGTCTGAATGAAGATAAGCTGTAGAGACATCAAATTGATTCACTTTGAACCCTTTCTGAGCAGCAACTGCTAATAGTGCCCGTAGGGTTTCACTCCTTGAAGTGGGTGCATAGACTTCGAATAATGTAACCCCTTTCTTTGCGTAAAACCTCGAGCTACAAGCCTTGCTTTGTACTCTGGTTTCCCCATCGCTGTTGTCTTTATCCTGTACACCCACCTACAACTTACTGCTTTGGTACCTTCTGGCAGTTTGGTGATGGAAAACACACCCAGTTCTTTCATAGAATTCAACTCCTTTTGCATGGCCTCACGCCACCTATTGGCCTCCTCCTGGGGTAATTGTTCAACCTCCTCAAAACTTTCAGGTTCGCAATTTGCCAAACCAGCCCAAACACTAATAGCTTGGTACCTTTCAGGGGGTTACCTTTGTTGGTACGCGTAGAACGCCTTAACAGTTCCTGCGATGTTCCTTCAGTTTCCCCCTCTGACCCAGAATCACTAGTCGTCACCTGTTTGTCACTAGTAGTTGTAGAACTTTCTGATTCTGACTTTACACGTCTCTCTTGCTGTACAGGTGAACTTTTAGAACTAGAAGATTCTGACTTTACAGACTTGGGTGAACTAGGCGATTTCTCACCCTTATCCTCAGACTCAAATTCCTCAGTCTGTTCTGGAACTAATACCTGCCCTGGGGCCTGAGTTTCATTGCTGTTCACCACATCAAATAGTATGTCAGGATTTCCATGAATTTTATTCCAACCATCCTGTTCACAAAATTCTGCACTTCTGCTGATTGTGATTTTCGTTTGATTGCCTTCTACATTCACAAATCTCCAACCTTTTGTGTTTGCTTGATAACCACAGAAAAACATTTCTTTAGACCTAGGATCGCCTTTCCTACGTTGTGCCCTAGGCACCAGCACATAAGCACGACATCCAAAAACTCTTAGATGATCAATTTTTGGTTTTTTCCCAAATAGCATGAAGTAAGGAGTGTTGCCTACTGTGCTATTGTACACTCTGTTAAAAGTATAATTCGCATACAGTGCAGCCTCAGCCCAAAAACGCTGTGGAAGTCCAGAATCAAACAGCAAAGCAGCAATGGCTTCCTGTAATGTTCGAAATTTTCTTTCAGCAACTGCATTCTCCTGTGGTGAATAGGGATTGGTAAGTCTATGAACTATACCTTTCCTTTTTAACCACGTCTCCAGCGTGTGGTTCACATATTCCCCACCACGATCTGATTGTATTTTACGTACCCTGGTGTCAAATTTACATTCGACTTCTTCAATCCAATCCATCAGGATGGAAGCTGCTTGTGTTTTTCTTTCAGAAAGAAAACCCAACTAGCCCTTGAAAAATCATCCACCAAAATTTGCATAAATCTCGCACCTCCAAGCGATTTGACTGGCATAGGGCCACACACGTCTGTGTGCACAAGTTCAAAGGGTTTCTTGCTTACTCTATCAGATCTAGGATAGTTACATGTCTTAACCTTAGCATGTTTACAAGCACAACAATCCAGAAAATTTGGACAGGGTTTAATGTTACACTCCTCAGCTAAATCTGGCATCTTGCTTACATACTTAAAGCATATATGAGCTAACCTTCTGTGTAGTAGATGTGCACAACCTGTATGAGGAGCCTTATTTACACACTTAGCTTGCGCTTCACCTGTTGAACATCTACCTGCTGCTAACTGCTCTTCATCCAAAACAAAAAGCCCATCCTCACAGGGAATTTTAACTAGCTCCTTCCCCTGTTTCGAAATGGTGCACACATCATTTTCAAACTCAACCTTAAAACCACTTTTTACCAGGCATGACACACTCAAAAGTCCATTCTTCATTCCTGGAAGAACAAAAACAGGAAGGTTAGTTTGCAAACAGTTAACATAAATTGTGCCTTTAAGGTTCATTTCTCGTTTACTATTGTCTGCTATAGTCACGGTTTTTGCAACTGGCAATGTCTTGCAGTTCATCAAGCGGCCACTAGATGTCGCTGGAACTAAACTGTGACTTGCTCCACTGTCAATTATCCACTTCAAGGTTTGTTGGCTCCTTTTAGGACTCTTTTGTGCTGCCATTGCAGATAGTCCCTTATCAGCACCTGCTCCCCCTCTGGATCGTTGATTCTTGTAGTTCTCACGTCGTCTTCCCCTGTAGCTCCGGAAACTGGCCCTGGACTGTTGAAATTCCTGTTGCTTTTCTGGACACTTTGCTATCAAATGAAACCTGCTGCCACATCGAAAACATGACTTGCTGGCCATAGCAGACACTTGTGAGGCTTCCTTACAGCTCTGCCTGCTAGTTTCCCCACGCTGGGAATTATCTGAACACCCAACCCTTGGGGTATTTGAATTATCAATACGTTTTCGATGATGTTGATATTCTTGCTCACACAATCTACCAGTCACATAATTCATATTCAGCTGGTCCTCTGGCAAAACCTGTAAAGTTAGTACTAAGTTTTCAAACCCTGCATGCAGGCTGCTAAGCAGAGTATAAACTTTAATATTTTCAGGAAAATTCACACCTAAAGATGACAGTCGGTTGAAATACTCAGTCATCTGTGACGTGTGTTCAACCACACTATCCCCTGGCTTCAGTTTCAACTCATACAAAGCACGTATAATGTTCACCTTCTCTCCGGGCGTGGCTCTATGGTGAATTCGCCTAAGAGCTTCCCAAATTTCAAATGCAGACCTTAAATTTTCCACATGAGGTAATTGGGAATCGTCTATCGATACCATCAACATGCATCTAGCTTTAGTGTCCATTTTATCATGTTCCCTATTCTGAGCATGTGCAGCGGCCTGTTGCTCTGCTGTGGCATCTGCTGCAACAGCCACAAACGGCTTTCGCCTCTGGACATAGTCAGCCCACACTTCTTTGGCTTCCAACCAGACTTGAGCCCTCTTAGACCACTGCACGTAATTTGCAGAGTTCAACTTTGTAAAGGGAACCTGGAAATTTTCCACTGCCATTCTTGGGGTCTGCTGCTACTCCCTCTGTGTGCCCTTTCTTCTTTTTCCCCTTGGGATTTGTTTTACTCACTTTTCAGACGCCTCCAGCCTCCTCTGAAGCCTTTAAGAGCTGGATTTACGACCAAGCCGGTCTTCTCTCATCCGAAGCTGCTTTCACTTTCTCTGCACACAATACAGCTGTAGAAACGTAGAAGGATCCATAACCTAAGAGAGTTTGTGTACTGGTCCAGTAAACGCTTCCGCTGCGCCACCAGCAACAGCTCTCTTTGCAGAGTATTAATTAAGTCCAGTGCAGAGATTCTTGTTGCAGTACAAGCTTCAGAGTCTCAGCAGCAAAGAAATAACGACACAGGGAAGCCTGTCTTTCCAAAGACAGGTTTATTGCAGAAAGATAACAGAAATACCTCCGGAGCTTTCAGACATTTTTGCTTCACACCCCACAGGCAGAGAAAACAAACACACTTTATATACTGAGCAACTTAACAACTTAACGAGCTTGACTACTTAAAGTCACATGACATTGCTAACTTGCCAGCGTCTTAGGTTTCACACCCTAACATCTTTTGCATGCTGAATGTTGTACTGTTGTGCATTAACTTGGTGTTAATTTAATTAGTGTGGTGGCATATACAGTAAGTACTTTACATAGATAGATAAATCAATAAATTCTGCATAGTTTGTTGGCACACCTCTATTGCAGGCTTGAGGGCTGTGCTAAGAGACAGTAGCTTTAGCAGCTAACTCCCTGTCCCAAAGATAACACACGCATGTCAGGAAAACACTGCAACATTTTGGCTGCAGGGCCCACTCATATAACTCTGAATAGATTCAGCAGCATAAGGATATCAACCGAATGAGTCTGCTAGAACAATGCATTGTGCCCTTTCCTTTTAAAAAGAAGAAAGGGATATTCATTTATGGACCTCTCTGGGAAGCATATTCTATGATACAGCAAATATTTCTTGCTCATCACCACAGACCGTTGTAAAACATGGATAAGTATACATTTATTTAAGATAAGAACAAAGTTAAAATACACATCCGGGAATTACATTTACTTTGAGTTTAATCAAATTAACGAGTCACCTTTATAGTCCGCTGCCATTTGATTCAAAGTACTTGCTCGGATTTCTTGGCAAGAAAAAAACTCATTTTAGCAAAAGCAAGGCTTAAGTGTCGAAGGAAGCCTTCCTTGTGCGAACCCCCACCCAGGTTTGGGAACGGCATGTGCGCCTTGGCTTCGGCATTCTGCTGTGCTCTGCATCTGCACTGCGGAGGGGGGAAGGGGAGGCCCCTTGGCGCCCTGTTTCAGCATCCAGCTGCAGCCGTGACTCCGCAGCCATGGGGCAACACCAAGCTTATTGTGTGACAGCCTCTGGACTGGAGCCACTGTGTCCAGGGGTATGTTTATTAGCCATGGTATTGGGAGGTGCCTTCAGGCAGAATCACTCTCACTCTCACCCTCTCTTTTTCTTTTTCTCCTCCTCCTCTTCTTTTGCCTCTTCTTCTTTTTAAAAAGAGAAACAAAGATCTTAGTATCCCACTCCACAAGACTTTTGTGAGGACAACCAAATACAGTGGTACCGTGGTTCTCAAACTTAATCTGTCCTGGGAGTCCACCGACTTCCGAAATGGTTTGAAAACCAAGGCATGGCTTCCGATTGGCTGCAGGAGCTTCCTGCACTCAAGCGGAAGCCATGTTGGATGTTCAGCTTCCGAAAAACGTTCACAAACCGGAACACTCACTTGCAGGTTTGCAGTGTTCGGGAGCTGATTTGTTTGGCATTCTGGAACCAAGGTTTGACTGTACAGAAAATAAAACATGCCTTGTGAGTTTATTATAGGACTCCCAAGTCCACTGACACAGTAGGTTTTCCATTGGAGCAGAGTGGCAGTCCTCACGCTCTGCCATCTTAAGACAATAAAGGAAAGGGATCTGGCTGGATGATGAAAAAGGGAACTGATCACCCACTTGCCGCTCTGAGGAGCTGTGCCTTGAGGACCAGAAGGGTCAGGTCACCGTGTTGCAGGCCGTGTGATCGAAAGGCCCGTTCACAAAAGGGTGCGGCCAGTTTAACTTTGAGGAAACTAGCCCTGTGTGATCTTGCATCCTTAGACATGCCACGTCCCCGTGATGGCTTGATATTGCTTCTAACTTTGTACCATGACTGGGTTCTTCCGCTTATGAATCAGGCCGCATCTGGCTTTTGAGAACCCGTCTCCAAGGCAGTGTGCTTGTGTGTGTGTCCCCTGATGGCTCTAACTCAACGCTTGTCTTCTAAACCGGCAGAGGAGAATGAAGAGCGCACCATGATTGATCCCAACTCAAAGGAGGAAGCCAAATTTAAAGAACTCATCAAGGTAAGGGCTTCATTGATTAGTAGCTTTGCCTTTCTCTGATGCAAGAACACACACACTTTTCCAAATTGGAGTAGAAAACTGGCTGGATGTGCAGCTGCTGCCTGCCTGGAGGTGGTAGAAAGGACGGTGCCATTTCAGATTCAATGCAGGCAGGCAAATCACACTTTTAATGCCCCCCCCATTGAAAAACAAAACTGCACAGGGAGGAAAGTCGCAGCATTTCTGTGAATCATTCTCTGTGACTTTGGTTCCACAGAAGGAAGTCCCCATCAAGTTGGAGATAAAAGTGTGTCCTGAGAAACGAAGCTATTGATATCTGGTGGTGATACCTTCCAAAGCAAAGTCCCAGAAAATTCAGCTTAGTCTATACAGAGGTACCTTGGTTTACAACCATAATCTGTTCCGGAGGTCCGGTTGTAAACCAAAACAGGTTGTAACCCAAGGCGCGCTTTTGCCAATGGGGCCTCAAAAAAAAAAAAAAGGGTTGTCATCCAAAAAAAGGGACACGCACTTCTGGGTTTGACGTGGTTGTAATCCAAAACAGTTGTAATCCAAAACGGTTACAAACCAAGGTACCACTGTATTTGTCTGTCGCCTGAGGAAGCATGTGGGTGGTAGATTCAGAGCTGCCGGCACTGTGTGTGTTTGGAAATGATTAGAACATTAACTGTCATAGCTTTGGGCAAGACCAACAGTAGAATCAAGTGCAGAACAGAAAGGGCTAAAGGAAGTTCTCCCCGGGGTTATCAGTAATAGCTGACTTGCAAGTTTTTCCATAACTTGGAAGGTAGCTCAGATGGAATAATAGGATCATTTTTAATTAAATAGCTTAGACTAGTTTGAAAGATCTGGTGGCAGTCATTGGAATGCATCTTGAATTAAGTACTGTAGTGCACAATCTATTGCACAATGGCTTTGCAAATCTTTTTGGATTTTCCAGTGTATGTTGGTTTTAAAATTATGCACACCCACGTAATGTACAGGACTTCAGGACTGGAAAATCACCTTGCCTGAAAAATCTTCTCTCTTTGCACAGAGCCATAACTTAGCCACACATAAGCTTTTTTTTGTTTAGACCTCTTAATCCACAAATAGCATTTATATACTGTACCGAGTAAAGTATCTTCCGGGTGCAGATCAGGGAGAGCAGGGGGCATCGGGGCGTTGATAGCATTTTTACCCTCTTCTTGCAGGTCAGTCACTGAAAAAAAGGGAAACCCAACAGACATTAGTAAATTCCCAGTTTGTCCGTTTGCTTCGCTGATACTGATATTTTTAGTTGGTTCACTAGGGTATAGATCCGGGACGAGGAACTAGGTCTAGTTGGTGAGCCAGATGGTTATCTCCCCACCTTTTGTGGGCTAATTTCTGACTGGTGGGTGGAGCTGCCCACCTGTCAATCACTTGATGTCGCAGTAACATCAGACGATCCTTTTTTGCCTGCATGGGGCTTGCAAGTGTTTTGCAAAGTGCTATTTTTGTGAGATGCAGCCGAAGAATTTAATTCTAATACAGGAAATCTGGCACCATAATAAATTTCTTAGTTTTCCAGAAAAGTCTGCTTGACTTGAGGTCCACCCCCTTAAAAGGATAGAAACTAAATAATGTATTAGGACCAACCAAGTAATCTATGTCTTTCCTTTATTGTCCCAGGTTTTAATTGACTGGATAAATGATGTCCTGGTTGAAGAAAGAATCATTGTCAAGCAGCTTGAGGAGGATGTCTATGATGGGCAGGTGCTACAGAAGCTCTTGGGTGAGCGGCTGCTGTAGGCAGGTGGCAGTGGACTGAGGGCTGGAGCTGGACCGAGGGAATCTGGCTTTGAATCACCACTCAGCCATGTTGGTCGCTGAGGAAAAGCAGGATTTGCTAAAACAAAAGGGCTGTGTTTTGGACTTGAGACTAATGAAAAGGAGGCAACCGTACCCTTTTGCTTCCATTTTTCATTGACCGTAGTTCAACGTTACAGTATTTCCATAGCTTCAACTGGTCAATCTTAAGTATGTTTTTTGAGGCAAGCCAACTGCACAAACCATGGTTTGAGGTTAACCACCGGTCTGTCGAAACGAGCCAAGATGGGGCAAGCTTTGATTAATCAAAAAGTGGAAGCAAAAGGCTCTCCTTGTGGCCCTGCCAGATGAGGAGAGAGATGGTTCTTATAATGCTAAACCAGGGGTAGGCAACCTAAGGCCCAGGGGCCAGATCCGGCCCAATCACCTTCTAAATCTGGCCCATGGACGGTCTGGGAATAAGCATGTTTTTACATGAGTAGAATGTGTTCTTTTATTTAAAAAGCACCTCTGGGTTATTTGTGGGGCCTGTCTGGTGTTTTTACATGAGTAGAATGTGTGCTTTTATTTAAAATGCATCTCTGGGTTATTTGTAGGGCACAGGAATTCTTTCTTTCTTTCTTTTTCAAAATATAGTCCGGCCCCCACAAGGACTGAGGGACGGTGGACCGGCCCCAGTAGGGAACCAAGCCAGGAAGTTGCACTTAACCATTCCTTGGTTAATGTATTTCAATCAAGCCTGTGCATGAAGCCGCGGCTTATGATTCTTTGCTTGTTTGAAAGCCTTTAACCATCATTCCCAGTTCACACGTAATGGGAAGCTATAGTTTACTGCCACTTGACTCTCATGAAGGGGCTTCCAGGTGCAGATCCTTTGTTTATGAAGCCAGGATTTGAGTGGTGTGAACCAGGTGAATGAGACCGCCTTAGTTCCTGGTCTGTGACAGCTTGACCTCAGTGGTCCATGACTGATTACTGTAATATGCTTTATGTGGAGCTGCCCTTGTATCTGGTCTGGAAGCTTAACCGTTTGCAAAATGCAGGAGCCCCAATGCCTTAAGAACTGTCTGATCCCTTACACTCCGCCTTGATCACTGAGATCCTCTGGTGGGTCACTCCTGCCAGTTCCCCACATCCCTGGGGTTTAGTTGGCCTCCCCTGGGGTCCAACCCTTTAGTACTGCAGGCCCTGTCCTGTGGAACTCCCCAGCACTGGGCATTTGGCAGAAACCACCCCTCCCTTCTTTCAGACATGTTTTGGAAGCCATCTTTGTTTATGGACAGGCCTTTGAAATATGAATTTTCTCTTTTTAACCAATCAGATTGGATTTATTGATGTTTTTAGTGGATACTTTTGTTGATTTTATTCTTATTGAAATATAAGCGTGGCTTATAACCATCTTAAAATATAAATAAATTTTAATTTCAAAAAGCTGATGGGTTTGTACCTGGCCAGGTGAGGAACTGGCTGCAGGGGGTCCATGTTCCCCATCCCTTTTGCGCTACCTGAAGAATCTTGTTTCTGCTTGTCTCTTTTCCCAACCCAGAGAAACTTGCTGGCCGTAAGCTCAACGTGGCCGAAGTGACACAGTCGGAAATAGGCCAGAAACAAAAGCTGCAGACTGTCTTGGAAGCTGTCCACGATTTGCTGCGACCCCATGGCTGGGCCATCAAGTGGAACGTGGACTGTAAGAAGCTTGTCTGGGTTGGGTTTGCCGTGGCTCCAGGGCAGAGTTGCTCCACTGCCAGCCCCTTTTGTCTCCACTCAGATAGCAAGACTGGGGAAGATCTTTGCTTGAGACCTTAGGAGAGCAGCTGCCAGTCAAAGTAGAGAGTACTGGTCAGGTAGACGCACATCTGTGTAAGGCAGCCTGGTGTGATCACAGAAATCCCCCTGCCCTGGCACTAGGCAGCTTAGCAAAGGCAAAACAGTATTCTGCAACTCGTGTACATTATGCAAAATGGCTTGATTTGTGTCATTTAGCTCATTTTGCATGATTTCTGCCGCTCATGGGGGAGGAGCAAGTTGCCATACAGGACACTGAGCCCCACTGACCACTCAAAGCTCTTATTGAGACACCGTTCTGATGTCAGTTTTCATCTGCTGTTCCCCATATGTTCCACCATATTTTTGTACCCGTGACTAAGAACCTGCTTTTTTCAACTCCTCGAGTGGTTTAACAGTCAATCCCTCTTGCGCATTGTAGCTCTGAGAGGGGAATAGGCACCCTTGAAAAACTACAGGTCCCATAACTCTTTGGGGGAAGCCATGAATGTTTAAAGTGGTCCCATGGCGCTTTCGGTGTGTGGTTTGAATGTGACCTGAGAGAGACCTGGTGATGCAAGCAAAAGGAATCGGGGAGGAATAAAGATTCCCCCAGCTAACTTGCAGTTGCCGTGGGTGGGGGTTGGAGTGGAAAAGATGTGCAGTTCTGAAGAAGAGACTCTGTGGAAGACCTAACGGAGAGGCAGGGTTCTTGGGGCCCCTGGAGGCAGAGGGTCAACCCCAGATCACCGATCCAAAACTTACCCAGAAAATGTTTTCCCTTAATTGCCTTTTAAAATTTGTGTGTCTCTATATACCTGTGTTTCCCTTCAAGCAATCCATGGCAAGAACCTGGTGTCCATTCTCCACCTGCTTGTAGCTCTGGCGATGCACTTCCGGGCTCCCATCCGACTTCCTGAACATGTTTCTGTGCAAGTGGTTGTCGTAAGGGTAAGGGCGTGTTGAAACCTTATGTATGTATTTCCTACAGATATTATCCTGTTTTCTGAAAGTTGGTTACACTTTAAAGCGCTCTCTCTCTCTCTCTCTCACACACACACACACACACACACACACCCCACCTCGGAGAATCAAGCTCTAGAACTGGCCTGGACCTAATTTGGGAGGTTTGCAAATAATAACATATAGAAAGTGGATGAAACTTTTAATCTGTTTTTAGTGTGTTGTCGTTTTAACTTTTATGAAAGTCTTAAATGGTTCTTAATTCTTATTGATAATTTTATTGCTATGTCTTTTCTGTAAATTGCTCTGAGGCTTTGGCTTTGGGGTTTGTTTTAAGAGTCAATCGATAATCAGTCAGTGAAATAATAATAAAATAAACAATTGCTCTGAGCAGAAATGGAGAAGCATAGGCAGTGATGGTTTGGCTTTATTGGCCACATGTTCTCCTGCTATTAGATCAGGAGTGGCTAACCTGTGGCCTTCTAGACAGTTATAGAATCACAGAATTATAGAGTTGGAAGGGATCCAGAGTGTCATCTAGTCCAGCCCCCTCCAGTGCAGGAATCTTGACACACGACGGTCTCCCATCCAGTTTGAAACCATACCAGACCCTGCTTAGTTTTACAAATGTGCTAGCAGTTTTATTTCTGCACCACTAGGAGGCTGTTGGGCTCCAACTCCCAGCAGCCACATCCAGTGTGGCCCAGTGGTCAGGGATAAAGGGAGTTGTAGTCCAGCAACTCCTAGTACTTCCCATTCAAACCATCCCTGCCTTAGGCATACCTGAGATTTGCTGGTCTGTTTGTTCTGGCACATGGAGCAAGTGGAGCTGATCACATCAGTGCATTAGGGCACTTTTCAAGGGTCAACAAAATCTTATTTTGATTATACGGTCACATAGAACAGGTATTCATAGTTTCATCTCTAGTTGGAATCATTTTAAATATAAATAATTAGTTTATTTAATTGTCAACGAATTGCTCTCAGCTCTAACGGCTTGTTTCTATACATGCCAAGGCTTTTAATTAAGCTGCCAGCCTTTTTTAGAGAGACTTCTTTTCCTAGATTGACTTGGGAAATGTGTTGTCCCAGTGGAAATATTGTACACACACCCGACTCCCAGCTGGGGAAAGGGAGCTGATCCCTTAGATACAGAGTGCTTTTTGGATTCCAGAAATCTGGGAGCAACGTGGCTCTTCTGATTCTGCAGAAATCAAGGAAGGGAAAAGCAGAAAAGCAAGGGTTGGGTGCCCCTATCATCCGTGCATGGAAGCACCCCTGTTTTTCTTGCCTATGGCTGTTAAGAGCTGCATACATTTCATAATTGATGAAGGTCTGTTCTATGTTTGGAATTTTTTTTTTAACTTCTGTATTGATAACAGCTGTAGCTGCAATATGCTAAATAAACCTGTCAGGGAACTGTCATCGGACGGAAGGGAGGTGAAAGGGCTCACACAGGTTGGGAGAGACGCAGCAGCTGAAGAGGGAAACAACAGGGAGGTGAAAGGGCTCACACAGGTTGGGAGAGACGCAGCAGCTGAAGAAGGAACCAGCAGGGGGAGAGGAGCTGAGCTGGAGGGATGGCTCAGAGACACTTCCAGCGAAAACAGTGGGGAGGTTTCAGAACCTCCTGTAAGAACACCCACTCCTCGCCGGAAACTGTCACGCAGAGATTCCAGAAGACGTGTTTCCGTTAAGGAGCTTTTATGTTGGAAGCGATTACGAAAGCAACCACTGTCGGAATCTGCTAGTGACTAGAGCAGCCATGTCTGAGGGGCTCTGTCACAGACAGAGGTTTGTGGACTTGAACAAACTCTGAGGGAATACGATTTTACGCACAAGCAGCTCATCATCCCATCACAGCATTCCGACAGTCTTTGAAAGCAGCTTGTGCAGGAGAAGGCATCATGAGCAACCCAGCCGGAACCGTGAGAAGCAGGAGCTGGAGCGGGTCCAAGCCTGGAAGAAAGGTACCAGATGTTGGAGGTCCAGCTAGCGATGCAGACGGCGAGGCTGGAGGAGAGGAGGGCTCAGGATGCAGACAAAGGGGGAAAGCCACCCAGTTCGCCAGAAAGGTACCAGGATTGGTGCAGAAGTTTGGGGGAGCCCAAAACTATCATGGTTTTCGGACAGAAATGCAATATGCCCTCAATCTGCAGTTTGATGAATTCCTGACGAGGAATCACGAGTGGCTTTCGTGATTGAGCATCTAGAAAAGGGGGCGAGAGACTGGGTTAGACCCTGATGGCAGCGAATAGTGACGTCTTAAAGGACACGATGAAGTTCTTTCGCGCCATGGATCTGATGTTTTCCAGCGATATTGAAAAGGGAGTGGTGCGCAGACAGTTAATGGGTTGCAAACAGGGGAGCCGATCTGTCCGTGAGTACTGGACTGAGTTCACCATGCTTGTTCACAGATTGGGGTGGGACTTATCGGCGGAACCCATTCAAATGCTCTTTGAAGAAGGGCTTTCTTCGGCTGTGAAAGACGAACTTTCCCGGGCGCCCAGGGCGGAGTCTATGGACCAGCTGACCAAATCAGCGCTGGCCATAGGAGCGCGCCAGGAGGCGAGAGCATTGGAGAGGCGGGAAGGGAAAGGGGAACGTTGGAAGGAGTTCCGCATTCCAGACATTCCAGAGCCAACTTTCCCACCGGCAGAGCCGATGGAAATCGGAACAGCACGCGCGCGCGCGCAGTTTCAAAGCCCAGTGAGGGGGCAAAGAAGGAGGGAAAAGGCGCCCGGAAATGCTATCTCTGCCAACAGCCAGGTCACTTTGCCAGAGTCTGCCCCCAGAGGAAAGAATGGCAAGGGATGGTAGGAGCTGTGGATGGAAGAGAGGAAAAATACCGGAGCAAGTAAAAGCCAACGCCTGGCTGCCACTGTCAGGGCACAGCAGCCAGGCCAAAGAGCAGTGAGAGTGCCCACGCCAGAACCTCCTAAACCCGCCCTAGTGATAGAAGTGACGCTAGAGCTGCCAAACGGACACCCTCTAAAGATAAAGGCGCTGTTGGACTCAGGCAGCTCCTGCAATTTCATGAGCAAAGAGTTTGCAGCTGAACACCAGATACAGACAATCCATTTAAGCAGCCCCCTGCAGGTTACCACGATCGATGGCAGGGAGCTGTTGGGTGGAGAAGTCAGCTTGCAGACCGTCCCAATGATAATGAAGGTAGCAAGGCACACCGAACTGATAGCTTTTAATGTGGCCACCTTGGGAGGAGCTCCCATTATATTGGGGATGAGCTGGCTAGCGTTACATGATCCGCTGGTGGGCTGGCATCAGAGAGTGGTTTCTTTTGGTTCAGCACATTGCTTAGAACACTGCAAAGAGGGAAAGGGTTTGGCAGGGGTCCAAGCCGCCCTAGCAGGGACTGAAGTAACAGAGAACGTGAAGGTACCACGACAATATGCAGATCTCCGTGACGTCTTCAGCGAAAGGGAAGCTGACCAACTACCCCCGCATAGACCCTTTGACTGTCAAATCAACTTACTCCCTGGAGCACAGCTCCCTGTAGGCAAGCTGTACGCCATGTCAGACAGAGAGATGCAGGAGTTAAGAGAGTTCATTGACAAGAACCTGAAGAGAGGGTTCATCAGAGAGTCCAGGGCGGTGGGGGGGCAGCCCGGTGTTTTTTGTGGATAAGAAAAACACGAACAAGCCGAGGCTGGTGTGTGACTTCAGGGCCTTAAATGCAGTGTCAGAACCAGTAGCCTTCCCTATGCCCAGGATTGACGACATTTTGACAAGGGTGCGGAAGGGAAAGATTTTCACAAAGCTGGACCTAAGGGGGGCGTACAACCTGGTACGAATAAGGAAGGGGGATGAATGGAAAACCACTATGTTCACCCCTTTAGGGGCATTTGAATATTTGGTTATGCCCTTCGGCCTACAAGCAGGCTCCGCAACATTTCAATCGTTTATGAACCACGTCCTGGGGCCTTTGCTTTACAAGAATTGTGTGGCCTTTTTAGACGACGTGTTGGTGTATTCTGAGAATGAGGAGCAGCATGTGAGAGACGTCAGAGAAGTGTTGAGCAGGCTGCAAGCCAACCAGCTGTGGGTGAAACTGGAGAAGTGTCAGTTTCATACCAAGGAGGTGGAATTCCTGGGGTATCGCCTGTCAGACAAGGGATTGGCCATGGATCCCGGCAAGGTCCAGGCGGTACTGGAATGGAAAACACCCAAAACAAAGAAGGATGTGCAGAGGTTCCTAGGATTTGGGAACTTCTATCGTAAGTTCATCCGAAACTTTGCCCACCTGACGGCGCCCATTACGGACTGTCTCAGCAGTAAGAAGAAGTTCGTGTGGACTGAGGAGGCGGAGCGAGCATTTGAGGAACTGAAAAGGGCCTTCGCCTCGGAACAACAACTCCTGCATGTGGATTTACAAAAACCGATGAGAGTGGAAACTGACGCATCAGACAGAGCGATTGGGGCGGTGCTTCTGCAGCCAGGCAAGAAGGGGTCAGAGTGGAGACCGTGTGCCTTTTTTTTCGCGAAAGCTGAACAAATCCGAGAGGAACTACACGGTGTATGACCGAGAACTACTAGCCGTTTATGAGGCGTTCCGGAGATGGAGGCACCTGCTAATTGGCGCACAACATAAGGTGCAAGTGTGCACCGACCACAAGAACCTAGAGTATTGGAGGACGGCACGAGTGCTCAACCAACGGCAAGTGAGATGGGCCCAGGAGTTCTCCAAATTTAACTTTGAGATTAGTTACGTGCCAGGCCCAGAGAACATTAGGGCGGACGCTCTCTCACGCAAACCTGAATATTTGGAGGGGAGGGGGCACCCAAGAGAGACATGTCATTCCAGAAAACCGCTGGGTCTGTGGGGCGGCATTGGTGGGACAAAGAGAACTGGTAGAGGAAACAGAGAATGATGAATACGCCCAGAATAAGCTCAGAGGTCTTAGGGGTGATGGAGAGGAACCAGGGGGGTTTTGAGGAAAGAAATGGAGCTTTGTA